AGCAGCTCCGGCTTGGCTGACATCACATTTTTATAGTTGTAAATTGGTTGATTTGTGGGAGAGAGTGACGCTAGGGACTGTCTATTCTACCATCTTGACCAGAACTAATACTATCTGCTTTAAAGGTTATTGTGAAGACTAAATAAGGTAATAAGGAAAAAGTGCTGGCACTTAGTAGGTACTCAATAAAGGGCAAGTTTTTCTTAAGTTTTGTTTCTAAATTAGTATCCAAGAAGAATGGTATAAAACAATGGTATAAGACATTAGTAATGTTGACTTCAGAGGCTGGGAATTTCACTAATGAGGAGTTTACTATCCCAGTTCTTTATACTAAAAAAGATGAAAATGTGTATTCAGGAAGGCTGGGCTTTGAGTACAGTGCACCGTTATTTAGTCAGGGCTGCTATGCTAGCACTGTCAAATGGTTTGCGTTGCCTTTGTGATGTGCGTGCGGAGACGTGACTCTTGATATCCAACCCATGCATGAGAGCTCAGCGATTGTCAGGTGCCTGGTCTGAGCTGCCAGTGCTGAGTGCCCGGGCAAGTACCATGCAGAGCTTTCGTGTTTCAGAACCCTCTGATGCTGCCTGATGAAATTCACAGGTGCTTCACACAGAGCTGGTCCTGAGATGGTGTTCTGAATGACTCCCTCTCAGTTTGTCATATTGTTGTTTTAGATTCAAAATTAAGATTTTTTGAAATTTAGAATTGATTTTCTTATCAACTAATGGTGCTATGTGATTTTTCCTTTTAAGATAGAATCATTCAGTAAAGTTGAAACCAGCACATCCACTTCAGCATATCTGCTGGAGAACAGATTAATAGAACATAAAGATATGACTCCAGGGTTCATTTTGGCCTAGTTTCAGCTGTGCTTAGATTAACACTGCTTTAGCATTTCCCCGTCTCACCCCTTCGTCCTGATTTTGTATTTTTCTATCTTAATTTTCTTATGTACTTTGGATCAGTGAATGTGCTATTTTTCTCATAACGTCATTTACTAATTCTAATCCTCTTACTCCTTTCATGCAAGCTCAACGATATCTCTGTGGTGCCGTTATTTTTCCTGAGCACTAGGTCCAAGTTACTGGGGGAGGATTTATTTTCAGTGTTTGGCATCTGAATGGCCCGGACCATAACACCCGGCACCTATCCACTGCTCATTATTAGGCAGAGGGGACTTGACTATTTGGTAGGAAACGTGAGTGAAATGGCTGCTAGAGGTAGTCATCAGTGACAGGCGGCTTGCCTGAGGGGTCTGGCCTGGGCAGATGGTGCTGCATTGGGGCCCCTGCGTGTCAGCTCGGCTCTCGGAATATATAGAACTGGCTCCACTGTTTTGCTGGGCCAGGATCTCAGCTCTGTGCTAGACTTCATTACATACCATCAGATGGAAGAGCCAACCTGATAACTTTCCATTTCCCAACTGGGAAATAATTCCAGGAAGGTATTTGGCTTTATTGGTGCCTGACAGCAACCAGCAGACATTTGGCATGTAGAAATGTATACGCATGCACACACTCGAAGGCTCATGAGCCTCATCCTGTGCCAAGTATGCATCAAGTGGGAGACTGCTGGCTTTTCACTTGAGGAATGTTCAGTGTAAGTTCGTAGAAGGTTCCCATGGGTTGTTTAAAGATTGGGCTGCTTTCCCCTCCCACAGTCACCATCAGTAGGCAGCACCTCCTCTCCCCTGGGTGCTACACTCCTATCTCAGGGCTGCTTAGCAACAAAGTCAATTCCATCATTTCCAGCCTCAGATGCCAACTATTTGCAGTGTATACTAATCCTCTCGGCAGTGTTAGAATCACAGAAGAGGCAGGGAACTGAAAGTGGTGGTTTCCTAGGATCAGGGCAAGCTAACACTCTAAAAATCAAATAGTCAAGGACTGTTTCCCTATGGAAGAGTACTTGATGCATTGAATGATGTGTTTGAGTCATCTGGTCCCCTCCTGCATTCTTCCATCCTTCCATCTTGGAAGTCTGTGCCTCTATGCGTATTTTCTAGTATCTAGCCAACTCTCAGATGTTTCCTTGAAGTACGTGAATAGGGCATCAAGATCAGAACAAAGACCACCCCCTGAACAAAAGCCATTTTGCACACTTTTATTAGATTAGGTTCCCACAGCGGGGATTATCTTTGTACTAGAAGCTATTTATGTTGGGCTGCTCTGTTGCGTGTATCAAAGACACTGAAATCTATACCACCTCCCTTTCTATTGTGCCTCTGGTCTTCTAGTCTTTCGATGAGTTCATAGTTATAACAATAACAAAACAACATGAAATGGAGGAATATTAGCTATGCTTTTCTTTAGATATTTCCAGAGAAGGAATCTGTACAATTTCCTGTGATGAAGGACTGCTCACATTCTGAATGAATTTTGAATTTGTTTTAGATAAGGAAGTGGGGGAATGTGCTGCACCTTTAGAATCCTCTAAATAGAGTCAAAAGTGACTGTAATTCTTTGACCTGCTTCAAGCTTCTGTCTAGCTCAGGAATCCCACCAGTGGCATCGCTAAAATTCCAATCTGTCTGAAATCTTTTGTGGTGGAGGATCTCGCTCCTCTTTTTTAAAAATCAACTCTTTCCACGTGACGTTTACACATAATAAATGCATACATTTTAAGTCTGCAGTTGGTGAGTTTAACAAATGTATCATGTAATCACTACCCCAATAAATACACAGAGCATTTCCCTTACTCCAGAAAGTTCCCTTCTTCCTTTCTGTAAGTCCATCTCCTCTGACTCCCACCGGCCCAGGCAACCACTGCTCAGATTTCTATCAGTATAGGTTAGTTTTGCCAGTTTAAAGACTTCTGTACACTATGTACTCTGGTTTCTTTTGCACAGCATGTTTTTGAGATTTTCCTGTTTTCCAATCAGGATACTCAACTCTGACTTTCAGCCGATGTTTTCAACTTATATGACAAGGAGACTTTTTAGCATAATTGCATGCTTTTCTGCCCATGGGGAGGTGATTGACAGGCTGAACATTTTTTTCCTTTAATAGTTGTGTGGCCCGGGGAGGAAGTAACCATCCTGAGTTGCCCAGGATTCAGGGAGTTGCTCAGATACGGGATTTTCAGTGGCCAACCAGACAAGTCCCAGGCAAATTGAGACCAAATTGGTCACTGTAGCCCTCTCCAGGAAGTACTTTTAAAGAACATTAAGGCACCAGGGGTAGGAGCTTCTCATCAATAGAGGAAGGACATGAAAAATGGGCATTTTATGTTTCTTTACCTTGAGGCTGTTGGCTATAAGGGACCCAACTCTGGGAGAATCCCAGTGCAAGCCAGGCTCAACTGGAGGGTGTGTGGAAGGCTTCCATCACTGACCTGATTTCAACTGAGTTTAAAAAATGTTTTTGAAATATAGTCTTTATAGTTTGGTTTCTTATTTTATTAAGGACATATTATGTTTTATTACTTTTCTTCCTTCCAGAATACTATTTTAAGAGATTTAACGTTGCCAACATTTAATGTTTTTAAATGTAATCAAGATTATGAAGTACATATTTGAAAGCACTAAGATTAACAAATTAAATTAATAATTATTATTATTTCAGGGTGCTTGGTTTGATGGACTCCAGTTTGGTTACTCTGATGTCAGTTCAGTTTTTAAAATCCAGCCAGCTTCTCAGCTGAATTACAAGGCACTGTTCTAACAGGGCTTCTCAGAGGATGTGTGCTAATCTCTCATTTACATCGGAAATTATTTATTAGCTGGATGTTAGCAGAACAAATTCACCTGTTAATGTTCAAGGAAACTATAATCTGCCAGATTTCCTTTTGGGGTGGATGAAATCCTTTGCATTTCACTGTGCCACATAATTTCCCACATAAATTCTGAAATATGATACTCTTATAAAGAGACTGGATTCCAAGGGCAGTATTTCCTGAGTATCACTGGAGAAGAAGTGGCAGTTTTGTGAGCCTTCACATATTGCACAAAGTTCGTGAGGCTTTTTAATGCTTCTCTTCAGAGAGATGTCTCTGTTTTTTCTTTGATTTTTTGATTCTTAAAGGTTAAAAAAATGCGTGAATATATCACTGTGGCAAAATTTAGATAATAAAGTAGTCTACCAGGCAAAAAATGAAATTTCATCATTACTTTTTCAAGCCCCATCCCAGTCAGATCTGTGGCTATCCTTCCAGAATTTTTATGTATAGTTGAATTCAGCCTGTGGTTTTGTCTATTTTTTTTTTCTTAAACTGAATCATACCATAGGTATATATTGTTTTTTTTTTCCATTTAAGCATGTTTTAAGTATTTTTTCATATGAGAATATGTCAATTTACTGTATTATTTTCAAAGCTCTGTTGACTCTGTAGTATGGACATAACTAAATTTATTTGACCGTTCCTCTTTCAATGGTTTTCTAGGTTATTTCTATTTTTTTTGATAAGTTGCCATGAACATACTTGTATGTCTCTGCCCATATGTGCTTTTATTGCCTTAAACTGAATCATACCATAGGTATATATTGTTTATTTTTCCATTTAAGCATGTTTTAAGTATTTTTTCATATTAGAATATGTCAATTTACTGTATTATTTTCAAAGCTCTGTTGACTCTGTAGTATGTACATAACTAAATTTATTTGACCGTTCCTCTTTCAATGGTTTTCTAGGTTATTTCTATTTTTTTTTTGATAAGTTGCCATGAACATACTTGTATGTCTCTGCCCATATGTGCTTTTATTGCTTTAGATATCTTAGTTATGGTGTCAGTGGATAAATTAAATTAAAATTTTGGTACGTACTGCTAAAGTGATCTCTGAATTTCAACTCTAAGTCTGAATTTTTTTAACATGAAGAATTTGAAACAAAATAAAAATGTATAATTAAATTTTGCAAGCTCACATAGCAAATTAGGAATTTGCTCTGCTTTTAACAAAATTTTGTTTATTGTTTATTTGTACATTTATTTTGTATAGAATGTCTCAGAAAAGCTTAAGATACATGTCTTACTGATTTATTTGCTGGCTATAATTTCACAGATGTCACATGAGCACAGAGTTAGAATGAATCTTAGAGCTTCCCCATAACTGACTGCTAAGATGTCTACACACGATAACACTAATGAAAATGTGGTCAGCGTGGAATAATCAAGAAATTACCTCCAACTAAAAGATCTTCCAAACCAAAGTTCAGGTGAAAAGTTGAGTTCTTTAGCATTTCCTTAATATCTCATTTTCCATTCTTATAACTTATTCATTCTTTCTCAAATCATTGACTCTGTCAAAAAAGTTATTTTGCAAAAGAATTAATAATGGGTTGCCAAAGTGTCACTAAGACTTTATCTTTTTTTAATGAAGTCATAGTGTCACTTACTAGCATACTGTGACTTATTATCGTAAGTAATTAAAATAAAACTTTGCTACGTGTCAGAGTAAATGAGGCAGAACAAAGTTCATAAGACGATGCGGTTTTCTCCTCAATTTGTCGTACCTGTTTGTCCCTAACTTAATATATCCTTTTATGTTCACACAAGCCTGTTGACCTCATTGGGTGGAGATGCAAGTCACGAAATGTGACCAACAGCTAGGAATGTGAACTGAAATTTCTGTTTGCTAGTGATAGGAGGGATACAACTTTCAGATGGCACTTGTATGAAGGGCTGTCCTGTATTTCAAGGTTTTGACTTAATTTTAAGATGTTTTTAGAATTCCTGTTGGTTCCACAGCTGAGCTCTATTCCTCTGACTGACACTTGCTGTTAGCACACAATTTCTACTTTTACTTCTTGCTTATTCTCTACCTCTTACTGTGAGAATAAGCTAAGGCCCGACTTTTACAAAATAAGACCTAAAAATACATTTATTTATTCTCCTACTATCTATGAGCACCTACTACATTGCAGGCACTATGTTAGGTTCTGGGGCAAAGACATGGGTTCCTTGGGGGGCTCCAATCAGGTGCACAGTAATTGCAATTGAGTCTGGTGAGTGCTGTAGTTCAGGTCCATACAAAAAGCCATGAGACAACTGAGTAGGGAACAACGAACACGAGGTGTTGGACAACTTGGAGAGCTCTTCCTGCAAAAGTATTCACTTCTCAGGATCCCACTGGCAGTAGCAATTTATTCTGTTTAGAAAGCAAGCAGGAAAGGTCTCATTTACAACACTGCTTAAACACCAACATGCAGAACTCCCAACCAGGCCACAGACTAACGTCATCACTGTTCAAATGCATTAGGCTACAAGTATCAAAAACCTGACCAAAAGTGGCTAAGCAGTAAAGGAGTTTATTTATTGAATTAGCTAGAAGTCTGGGGCAGGCAGACCTGTTTTGTTCAGCAATTCATCATGTCATTGAAGACATCCTTCTACTCTGCCATTTCTCCCCATGTTGGTGAGGTCTTTCCACATGGTCATATGGTGGCTGTAGCAGCTGAAAGCTCTGTGACCTCCCCTATCCAGGCACATCCAGCAACTCCCAGATTTTGTGCGATGAGATCCCTCTCAGAGAGCTCTCATTTCTCCCACCCCGTCAGGTACTGTTACTGCCACGCACTTGCTTGCCTGTTGGCTGTCTGCTGTGTGCAGGACAGATAAGAGCAGCACACATCACACATGTGCTGCAGCTTTCGAGGATAGGGTAAATTGAGGCACAAAGCAAGGAGCCTTGTGCATTAGGATTCCCTGTTCATGATTACAGGATATGTGGGGATTTTCATTTCTTATTTTGGGGACCATTCTGTCCTTTCTTTAAGCTGTAGTCTCTACAGGGTAGGGTGTTTGGGACAAATTTCATCTTGCTTTAGGTATAAGTAATATGCAATAAATTAATCTCACTATAAACTAATCTCGCTATATTCTTTTTCTGAAGACCTGTTGGTAGTGACTCCACTGGTGATTTAAAGTCATGATGTTCTCATTTAATCCTACATACACATGCTCACACCCCTCACCACCCATACAAACACATGGAAAAAACATCTCAGTGTTGAATGTTGCTTTTCTTTTGGAATAGGACTGATGCTTCTATTTCTTTTCCTCTTCTTCCACCTTTCTTCTATCCCTCTTCCTTCTTTTATGTTTTTTGACTTCAACAGAAATTACTAGAACTTTGATGAAAAAAATTTAAATAAAAGAAAATTTACTGGAAAGTGTTTATGTCCTTTGCTTTATGCTTTTAATGTCTCACTCTTTTTTGACTGCCGAAGGAGAGTTGGCTATTTGTTTATAGTATTGGTCCCAGGCTTATAAAATACACTTTATGCATTGTATTACTAGGGATTCTTAATGTGGACCTAAAATCCTTGACCATATTTGTTGTTGTTTTGTTGTTTCAGTGATGAGACATGTACGTTAGAAAATCAAGTGGGAGTATCCTAGACATGATTGACTTTGGAGGACAGTGCTTTATTCTGCACTGTTTCTCTCTTGGGTAGAGAGAGACTCTAAGATGATTAAATGGAGTGGAACACTGCAGGTTGTGAGAATAAAGCGAGTTTATTTCTTCAGGTCATAGCTTCCAGCTGAGGTCAAATGTGCCCCAAAGGCCAAGTGGAGTGAAATAATTTGGCAGTTTCCATATCTACCTGGTGGATAGGCTGGCTTGGAAAAAAAGCACTCAGTTGGCATCTTGATCATTAGTTTCAGAGGATAAATTTTTGATTTAATTAACTTAAGACTGATTGCTGTATTTCAGTATTGACTTCTGTAAAATGTCCGTCTAGCCAAGGGTCTAAGGCAGACACATGGTCAGTGTGCACTGAAATTTTAGTTGCTATTACAGATATCAGTAGGACCAGATGCCTTAGGGCACGGTGCACCTAACTTATGAAAATAGGTGTTTCTTGACCCACTTTTCATGATTTGTATTTTGCTTCACAAAGTGGAAAAATTGGGAGAATATTGAAATGACTTCATATGCCCAATGGAGTAATAGCATGTGATCATTCAAAAGAACAGGGTAGCTCTCTATGCACCAATATAAAATGTCTCCAGGGTAGTCACATGGATAATGCCAGGTTCATAACAGTGTGTATATTTTCATTTATATGAAAAACTTTTCATTAATTCCAAAAAGATTTTTTTTCTTTTCAAATTTTAATATCTCTAAAATCTACATGTATTTTCAGTGGGTAGCCTCCCACCAGTGTTTGTCAGTGGGCAGCAGCGGTGAGGTGGTTATGAACGCTTGCGTGGGCACCACCTGGGTTGCTCTTCCGTCTGCCATGATGGGACAACTGCAGCCCTTTGATGTTCCCATCAATAAACCATTTAAGGACTATTTAAGGAAAGAATATGAGTCTAGTTGGTGTCTGCAAACTTTCTTCTGGTAATGTCAGGAATTGCTCTTCCGTCTGCCATGATGGGACAACTGCAGCCCTTTGATGTTCCCATCAATAAACCATTTAAGGACCATTTAAGGAAAGAATATGAGTCTAGTTGGTGTCTGCAAACTTTCTTCTGGTAATGTCAGGAAAGCTACAACATTAAAACTTGGAGATGGTTGTCAGTGTCTTGGAAGAAAATCTCAGAGTTGATAGTGGAGCACTCTTTTAAGCAATGTCAATTGCCAAGTCATAATGTTACTGAGCAAAATACTGTCCTGAAAAACATAGACATTAAAAAAATCAAAAAGCGATCCTCAGAGTTGATAGTGGAGCACTCTTTTAAGCAATGTCAATTGCCAAGTCGTAATGTTACTGAGCAAAATACTGTCCTGAAAAACATAGACATTAAAAAAATCAAAAAGCGATTCAGAAGAATTGGACTCTGAAGAAAATTTAATATTTTATACCAATTTAACTTATATTTTTCTAGTATTCACAAGAGTGATAAATGATAAAAATCTATATCTAAGTAAATCTAAAAGAGCTCTTTAGATAAGTATAAATAAAAAAATCTAGGTATAAGAAAGCATTATATCACACTGTAATTGGAAATCCCTTCCTTCCTCCCTCCCTCCCTCCCTCCCTCTCTTCCATTCCTCCCTCTCTCCCTCCCTCATTTCTTCCATCTATCCATCAATTTTTTAAAACATGCAGAGCATACAAGAAGCTGCTAACAGAGGGAAGGGACCTGGTTGACTTGCGTATGGTGAGGGACACTTATTTTTCCCATATAATCATTTGTTTATTTTTTATTTTATTTATTTATTTGTTTTAAAGGATGACTGGTAAGGGGATCTTAACCTTTGACTTGGTGTTGTCAGCACCACACTTTCCCAAGTGAGCCACAGGCTGACCCTATTCATTTGTTTATTTTTACCAAAGCAATACATATTCCAAATTTAAATAGCAGATGGTTTTCTCCTGAGGTTACCACATTCAGGACTTTTATCAGACTCTCTTGGTTGTGCTGTCCAGATCTACAAGTAACATGTCGGTGTTACTATTTCATGATTTTTCAGTATTAAGCACTGTCTGTTGACTCCCCTGTCTTGGAGGATGAGGGTTTACTCTTCCACCCCCTCCTGTGCATCACACGCATATCCACCCTTCTGCGTCCCACTCTCCACTTGCAGTTATATTCCATGTTTGATAGATCAATATTCACTTTTTTTCATTATTATTACTGTATAAATGATATTCATGAGTGAACCAGAGAGTGTACTGATTACTTCTTGTTTGCCTTAACTTAATAACTGAATCTTATTTTTTGTAACTGCTGGGTTTTCTATGTGCTTATAATAACTCAGCCCCCAAATCTTTGACCAGTCAGAATAATTACTCCTTTCTTTCTCCTGCCATGGCTATTTGCATTTGTGTTAGTCTAGTTTGAATTTCAGCTAATGGCTTAACATTTATATTAAAAAAATCCTAAGATCTGTCGGGGCTTATTTTGTTTATCTTCGAAGTCCCAGAATTCCCGCTTTAGTGCTTTCCCAACAGTGGAACACAGTAAAACCTTGCCTTTTAGGACTGGCTATACTTCTCTGAGTTAGTGGCGGTGTCTTCTGTCACCAGGTTTGTTGGCTGCAGCACAGAGTAATCGGAATGAGACATAGAAACACTTTAACTTGCCTTTTAATAAGTAAGGACAAATTCTTCACATGCCTTTAGAGATATTCGCAAACCCTCTGCAGTAATGTAACCTTGTTATGAACATTTCATATCTGAGTTCAGCAGAACCAGGTGGGACTCTGAAGTGGCTTTGCCAACCCAGTGCCACCTCAGCTCCTGTCTCCCAAGTGGAGGGCATTGCCT